GGGGGGAAGAGGAAGAGATATACCATAGATAGATGATAGCTGGGTGGGTGGGTATGTAGACAGACAGATGATATACAGACAGAGGTAGGTAGGTAGGTAGGTAGGTGGAGAGAGGGAAAGAGGGAGAGAGAGAGATACACTGCTCAAAAAAATAAAGGGAACACAAAAATAAGACATCCTAGAACTGAATGAATGAAATATTCTTATTAAATACTTAGTTCATTACATAGTTGAATGTGCTGACAACAAAATCACACAAAAATTATCAAAGGAAATCAAATTTAGCAACCCATGGAGGTCTGGATTTGGAGTTACACTCAAAATTAAAGTGGAAAAAACCACTACAGGCGGATCCAACTTTGATGTAATGTCCTTAAAACAAGTCAAAATGAAGCTCAGTAGTGTGCGTGGCCTCCACGTGCCTGTATGACCTAACCTGGGGATGCTCTGATGAGGTGGCGGACGGTCTCCTGAGGGATCTCCTCCCACACCTGGACTAAAGCATCCCCCACCTCCTGGACAGTCTGTGGTACAACGTGGCATTGGTGGATGGAGCGATACATCATGTCCCAGATGTGCTCAATTGGATTCAGGTCTGGGGAACGGGCGGGCCAGTCCATAGCATCAATGCCTTCATCTTACAGGAACTGCTGACACACTCCAGCCACATGAGGTCTAGCATTGTCTTGCATTAGGAGGAACCCAGGGCCAACCGCACCAGCATATGGTCTCACAAGGGGTCTAAGGATCTCATCTCGGTACCTAATGGCAGTCAGGCTACCTCTGGTGAGCACATGGAGAGCTGTGTGGCCCCCTAAAGAAATGCCACCCCACACCATTACTGACCCACTACCAAACCGGTCATGCTGGAGGATGTTGCAGGCAGCAGAACGTTCTCCACGGTGTCTCCAGACCCTGTCACGTCTGTCATATGTGCTCAGTGTGAACCTGCTTTCATCTGTGAAGAGTACAGGGCACCAATCTCTGGCAAATGCCAAACGTCCTGCACGGTGTTGGGCTGTAAGCACAACCCCCACCTGTGGACATCAAGCCCTCGTATTACACTCATGGAGTCTGTTTCTGACCGTTTGAGCAACCAAATGCACATTTGTGGCCCTCTGGAGGTCATTTTGCAGGGCTCTGGCAGTGCTCCTCCTGTCCCTCCTTGCACAAAGGTGGAGGTAGCGGTGCTGATGCTGGGTTGTTGCCCTCCTACGGCCTCCTCCACGTCTCCTGATGTACTGGCCTGTCTCCTGGTAGCGCCTCCATGCTCTGGACACTACGCTGATAAACACAGCACACCTTCTTGCCACAGCTCGCATTGATGTGCCATCCTGGATGAGCTGCACTACCTGAGCCACTTGTGTGGGTTGTAGACTCCGTCTCATGCTACCACTAGAGTGAAAGCACCGCCAGCATTCAAAAGTGACCAAACCATCAGCCAAGAAAGCATAGGACCTGAGAAGTGGTCTGTGGTCACCACCTGCAGAACCGCTCCTTTATTGGGGGATGTCTTGCTACCTGCCTATGCTTTCCACCTGTTGTCTATTCCATTTGCACAACAGCAGGTGAAATTGATTGTCAATCCGCGTGGCTACCTAAGTGGACAGTTTGATTTCACAGAAGTGTGATTGACTCGGAGTTACACTGTGTTGTTTAAGTGTTCCCTTTATATTTTTGAGCAGTGTATATATACCATAGACAGACAGATGATAGCTGGGTAGGTGGGTATGTAGGGAGATCGATCAATCGACAGATAGCTGGATAATAATAGATATACAGAGAGGTAGGTAAATAGGTGTGGGACCGATGGGGGAGGGGATTCAAAGGAGACCTTGAGACGCTTCCCTCCCTTGGCTGCCCCGCTTGCCCCGTCCTGACCCACCTGGCACTTGTGGGGGTCTCGGGAATGGGCCCCGCGCTGAATGGTCTGAAGCACCTGGGGCCATTTCTTCAAGGTCTCATTCTTCAGGATGACGGCAGCCAGCTGCGCTAAGCTCAGGGAGACTTTATGGCTGGAAAAGACGGTTATCTTTGGGGAGGAGAGGCAGGGAGAGAGGTGGGGAGCCCCAACCCCCTCAGGGCCTCCTCAAACAGGGGTACTCACTCTGTCTGCTGTTGGAAGCTGCTTAGCACCAGGTACTTGATCCTGAAAGAGACGAGATTTGGGGGGAGATTTTAATCTTCTATCTGTACAAAAGCAAAAGACCCCTTACGCATCAGCACAAAATCTCCACAATGGTCAAGCCCACCAACTTGAAATTTGGCCCGTATCTTCCTCTTGGCTTCTAGGGGTTCACTAAGAAAGGATTTTTCGAAATGGACATCAGGGCATTTATTATTATTAACACGCTAGGAGTTCGACTCCCCCTCCCCAACTGAAAAAATCTCTTCCAAATGCAAAACACAAGCAGAGGAGTTTCAGTTTCAGAGCACCAGGCAGCTTTAGTACAGAACAGTTGAGCTAAGCCACACCCAGGCTCCTTGCTGTCTCCTTCTTGCTCACACAGCAAATACTGTTTCAGTTTCCAAACATCCCTCGATTCTCTCACACACTGACAGAACGCTAGCCAGATGAATACTGATGGATGCTGGTAGGCATAGGCAGAATTCCCCTCCCCCCCTTATTTTCCTCCCCCAAAACGAAGCCCGATCACAGAGTTTTGTAGCGAATCACGGGGATCGAGCTAGTTCTGAAATAAAAATACACACTCCTAGCTTGGGAAGGGAGCCACATTGTTGAAGATCTTTCTGAGTTGGGCCACTCTAATTCCAATATTTTAACCCTATTCCATATCCTCTAAAAGTACAAAAACATGATACCTGGTGTGTGAAGTTTGCTGCTTTCAAAACTTTCGTTCTCACTACAGGTTGCCCTCGACTTACGACCACAACAGAGCCTAAAATTCCCTTCACTAAGCGAGACAGCTGTTAAATGAGTTTTGCCCCATTTTACGAACTTTCCTTGCCGCAGTGGTTAAGGGAATCACTGCATACCAAACAGAATAGAGTGGGAAGGAACTTCGGAGGTCTTCTAGTCCAGTACGAGACCTTAGACCAAGAGGATCACACTCAATTTCATTGAGGGCCGCATCAGGGTTGTGTTTGACCTTGTGGGGCTTCCGGAAGCCGTCGAGAGCCTGCGGGAGGTTGTTTTGCCTTCCCAGAGGCCCGAGGTAAAGCCTCCGGACTCTGGGGAAGATGAAACATGGTCCTTGCGGAAGTTTCAGTAGGCCACGCCCACTGTGGCCACGCCCACCCAGCAACCAGGCAGCGAAACGCCTGCTAGGATTTCTGAATCCCACCCCTGGGTGTGGCCAACTTGACAGGACTCATGTTGGAGGTGCCCGTGGTGGCACCGGCAGAGCTGTGGGGCACCTATCGTCTCCAGCAGGCGAGACCAAGAAGAGGCCCCTGTCCTTCAGGGGAGCTTTGCCATCCCTCTAAGGCCATGTCCAGCACCCCTGGAGGGCGGTGCAAGCTGTCCAGACCCCTAGGCAGTGGAAGGCAGGCGCCCAGCCAGGCCCTCGAGATCTCAGGGCACCAGGTCTCCGCAGCCCAGGCCACCGCACAAGTGACGCGGCATTATTTGGCGCATCGTTCGAAGTTACTGGAGAAAAGGAACTTAGGATAGTTTTTCACTCTTACGAGCATCCCCAGGGTTACGTAAATTTACATTCAGATGCTTGACAACTGACTCGTACTGACGATGGTTTCAGGGTCCCTGGGGGGTCACGTGACACCCACCCCTTTGGGGACCTTCTGACCAGCGAAGTCCATGGGGAAGCCAGATTCACTTAATAACGCAGTTACTAATTGAACAACCGCAGTGATCCGCTTAACAAATGTGGTGGCGGAGAAAAAGCTGCGAAACGGAGCCATGCTCACTTCGCAAATTTCTTGCTTGGCAAGATGAATTCTGGGCTCAATTGTGGTCGTAAGTCAAGGACTAAGATGATTAGGGGACTGGAGGCTAAAACACGGTGAAGAACGGTTGCTGGAATTGGGTAGGTCTATTTTAATGAAGAGACGGTCTAAGAGAGGCATGATAGCAGTCTTCCAATATTTGAGGGGCAGCCCCAAAGAAGAGGGAGTTTTATTTTCCAAAGCCCCTGAAAGCAGGACAAGAAGGAACGGATGGAAACTCATCAAGGAGAGAAGCAACCTGGAATGAAGGAGAAACTCCCTAACAGGGAGGACACTTAACCAGTGGAACAGCTTGCCACCAGAAGTTGTGAATTCTCCAACACTGGAAACTAAAAAAAAAATTGAAATGGTAGAGGGTCTCCTGCCTGAGCAGAGGGTTGGACTAGAAGACCTCCAAGGTCCCTTCCAACCCTGTTATTCTATACTAACTGTAGTTTAAATGAATTGCAAAAGGCAGCTTTATTGGGACCAGTGGATCTCCTGGATTAAAGCTTTGATACCATCAAACCTCTACCTCCCAGGTCCTTTGGGAGGACTGGGTAGGAGGTCAAACCTCTGGCTAATTATGCAATGAAACCTAGTTAATTCGTAATAATATATTTATCTTTTCTGGACTTACATATTTTTATCTGCCGCGCCAATTTTCTTCCAGTGTTTGCTCAGCCGCCGTCTGAGCAACACGGAGGCAAATTGCTGGATCTGTGAAGGGAGGAGAAGAGAAGAGAGAGAATGTAAGGCTGTGGAGGAAAGGATCAAAACAGATTTTTGAGAATTAGAAATGATGGCTTCGGCAAGGAGAAAGCCACACTGAGCGAAGCTGAATGTAGAAAAAGTAGCATTCAAATAAGCACAAGAGAGAATACGACTTTACCCTGTTGTCAGCCTCTAAGAAACCATTTTTCTGCTTGTCTTTCCAGCTGATATAGAAAGTGGTGGGGGAGAATAATTGGGCTTTGTGGGCGGAAGGGAGGTTTAATGTAATGTAAACTTGGGGTGTTTTGTCTATGCTTGCTTACTGCGGCAGATGTAGCCTCTTATCTCTGAAGGCCAAGGCCAAACGTCTTAGCACACCTGGTGTGTGAAACACAATAGGAAGAGGCCCCACATGACATCATACACATCTCAGATTGGATGGACAGTTTAAACTGTTGTGGGGTGGGAACATGGCATAACTTTCTAGCTGTGATTTCCGTGCCTATTCTTCTGATGCCACCACTTCAATTTTCAGTAAAAGTCCTTTTCTCTAAGATTTTCTTTCTTGGGTTTTGAATGGAGCCTCACCTGACATGACCTATCCTGAAAGTAAGCCCATTTGTTTTACGTGTGCACCCCAAATAAGCCCTAATTAAGACCCCAGAGTGGACGGGTAAAAATTAAGCTAGGGTGTGTGTGTGTGGGGGCGGGAATGGATCTGCCCTACTACTTACCTTTGGATAATTATAACCAGGCCTCCCACATCCCGACACCTATCTCGCCAGCCCATTTCTTCTGCAGATGGCAAGGCTTTCCTGAAGGCCTCTGTAGCTGATAACAAAGCTCCAGATCGTTATCAGCTGCAGAGGCCTTGAAAGTTTTGCTGGCTGCAAGAAGAAGTCCCTGAAGGCCTCTGACAGCGAAAAGGAAGCTGGGGGCGACACACACAAATGAGATTAGTCACCTATATTTAAAACCAAGCTGAAGTTTGAGATCCCTCTCGCCTAGCCAAGCTTGTTGTGACTTACCTGAGGATCTTCTGAATGTGTCATGACATGGCAGAGATCGGAAAGAGCTGCCGGTTGCTTCAGTATTTCTTTCAGCTCGGACGTTGCCTGGTAGGATAAATGAACAGGCAGCAAAGGGTTAAAGCTGCCCCCAACACAGGTAGTCCTTAACTTATAACAGTTCATTTAGTGACCATTCAAAGTTACAAGGGCACTGAAAAAACCGACTTATGACCATTTTTCACACTTATGACCGCTGCGGCATCCCCATGGTCACATGATTTACACTGGGATGCTTGAGAAGTGACTCAGTGTGTGGTGGGGATTCACATAACCAAGGGGACGAGGCAAGTGGTAAACTGGGGCAAAACTCACTCCAGGAGCATCTTACTTAGGCGTGTAAATTCCGGGTTCATAAATATGAGTCCATGGCCAAGTGTCTGAATTTTGATCATGTCAGAGTAGCGTGGAGAGGAGTAGAGAGAAGTAGGACTAAGACAAGAATAGAATTGACTAGAATAGAATATTCGTGTAATATTCAGTTTGTTCTTTCTCTTCTGTAGCAAGTGTTAAATCTGTTCATTTCTGCGCATTCTAATATTTTCCTAACCACATATTTTCCTAATCCATGGGGATTCTCATCCCTTTTCCAATTTTGTGCAAGTACCAATTCTAGCTGCAGTTAATACAGCTACAATTAAATATGCATTTTAAGTTTCAGACAAAATCCCCAACACAGATATTTCTGTTTTAAATCGATATGCTGCATTCTCCCCTTCCCCACCGCATTTGTAGTTCTGTATTTATTTATTTTATTGCCTCTGCACTCATCCACCACCTGTGATATAATACGACCCAGGTATCTGGTGGCATTTCCAACATTTAGCCTATTTGTTTTTTAAACCTCCTTGCCAAATTTGCCGGCGGGACCTGGTCACTAAATGAACCGTTGTAAGTCAAGGGCTGCTTCTATATCCCCTCCACCAACACCCCTCCCCAAAGCCATGCTCTCCCTTCGCCTTGCAATGGCCAAGCCCGTGCTCCCAATCCCCCCATTTCTCCCCCCCCCCACACACACCTTCTCCCATCCCTCCCCACCTGCCTGCCGCTTTACCTCTTGAATGACGGCGTTGTCAGGCTGCAGCAAGAGCGCCAGGATCTGCTCCAGCTGCTGGGCTGCCATGGGGCCGCGAGAGGAGACAGTCAGGGGCAGCGAGGAAAGGCCCCGACGGAGGGCATGGAAAGGGGGCGTAGGGAGGGAGCCCACAGTCCGGGGACGGGCGGGAGGAAGGCGGAGAACTTCCCGGGCGGGAGCTCAGCTTGCAACTGCTGCTGCTGCCGCCGCTGCTGCTCAGCGTCCAAACTCCCAGCACATGTGAAGCAGACGAGACGCGCCTTCCGGGAAGGGGATAGAAGGGAAAGCGGAAGAGAGAGAGAGAGAGAGAGAGAGAAAGAGCGTCCTCACTTTCAGGTGAGGAGGACTTACTGCAACCGCCCAAGCCACCCTAGGAAGGATGGCCCGGCAGGGAAAGCGTTCTGCGCATGTTCAGAGGCACCTGATCTCTCCCCCCCAACTCCCCCTGAGATAGGGTCACATATGTGTGCCTGTCCTCTTATATGGGCTTGCAGGATGAACCCAATGAGGAGTCGCTGCGACCATAACCCACCCTGGGAAGGGAGGCCAATCCTGGAAAATACTCTGCACATGTTCAGAGGCATTTGATTCTCCCTTAAATACATCTATGTCTTTCCTCTTTTATGGGGCTGGAGGATGAGCCCAATGAAGACTCACTGCAACCACCCAACGCACCCTGGGAATGTGGAAAGGGAACTTCACAAGGACAGTGGTGTCACCCAAGCAGGAAAAGCCCAAAGGGAACATCAAGCCAGCCACAGAACAAACTTGCATAGGAAAAGGGATCAAATAAAAAGTATTAAAGAAGCCCCTTAGACAAAAGCCCAAATAATTAAGAAAACTAAGGAAACAAGAAAAGAAAACCCTTACAAACACAAGACATGCCAAATCAGCAAAACAGACAGACAGAAGACACAAAATACATTGCAAAGGAGACAGACAGGAGATTGCCACAAAACAAATATAAGAAACCATTAAGCAAAAAAAAAGAAAAGAAAAGATTAGGACGAAACCGATAATCCAATCAAACCATCCCGCAAAGTTTGCCTTCTGCACCCCGCGGAGTTTAACCTCTGGCAGAAATGAAGACAACCCCTGACAGGATTTAAAACATTAAGAAATACAAACACAAGCGCACACACACACACACAAAAGGAGGAAAGGTATAAAAAATCAGGAACATCATACAAAGCTAGCTAGAGGGTTATCTTCGGGAGGATGAGCCCGATGAGGACTCCCTGCGACCACACAATCCACCTGGCTAAGCGCCATGGGGAGGCCAGTCAGGGAAAACACTCTGCACATTCAGTGGCATCTGAGTCTCCCTTAGATACATAGAATAGAATAGAATTAGAATTAGAATTAGAATTAGAATTAGAATTAGAATAGAGAAAGGAATAGATAATATAGAATTAGAATAGAAAATAATAGAATAGAAATAGAACAGAATAAGATTCAGAATAGAATAGAATAAAGAAAGAAATAGATAATAAAATATAGAATTAGAATAGAAAATAATAGAATAGAATAGAAATAGAATAAGATTCAGAATAGAATAGAATAGAGAAAGGAATAGATAATAAAATAAAGAATTAGAATAGAAAATAATAGAATAGAAATAGAATAGAATAGAATAAAACAGAATAGAATAGAACAGAATAGAATTCTTCATTGGCCAAGTGTGATTGGACACACAAGGAATTTGTCTTGGTGCAAATGCTTTCAGTGTACATAAAAGAAAAGGTACATTCGTTAAGAATCAAGAATCATAACGTACAATACTTAATGATAATCATAGGGTACAATAAGCAATCAAATCATACTAGGAAACAGTCAATATAAATTGTTAAGATACAAGCGACAGTCATAAAGTCATAAGTGGGAGGGGGTGGCTGATAAGGGATGATGAGAAGATTAATAGTAATAGTAGTGCAGACTTTATAATAGTTGAACAGTGTTGAGGGAATTGTTTGTTTAGCAGAGTGATGGCATTGGGGAAAAAACTGTCCTTGTGTCTAGTTGTCCTGGTGTGCAGTGCTCTATAGCGTCGTTTTGAGAGAAGGAGTCGAAACAGTTTATGTCCGGGATCCGAGGGATCTATAAATATTTTCACAGCCTTCTTTTTTATTTGTGCAATATACAGGTCCTCGATGGAAGGCAGGTTGTTAGCCATTGCTTTTTCTATCTGTGTCTTACCTCTTTTTATGGGGTTGGAGCCCCAATGAGGACTCACTGCAACCATCCAATCCACCCAGCCAGGCTCCCTGAGGAGGCAGGGAAAACGCTCTGCACATGTTCAGTGGCATCTGTTTCTCTTGTCAGAGAAGGTAAGGGCACCCAACACCGCCTTTCCTCTTTGGCTGGGTGGACGGATGAGCCCAATTTTATTTCATCCAAAGATTCAAAGTGTGCAATTTCCATATTGCACCATCATGCAAACGCCCGTCTACAAATTTGCAAAAAAATAAATAATTCCCTGCGTTGAGGGAGTGGGCCTGATAATTTTCGTTTTCCACTCTGAGGGCTTTTTTCCCCCTTGACGAAAGGGATCCAGGCAGACTGCAGCTGGGCATGGAAGTTCTACTGAGCCTTCAGATCAGGCGGTTTCTTTACAAGCCTGGATGGGGGCGGGGGGAGTGGGGAACTGTTGGCTGTGAGTTGCGACTGTGAAAGTTTCAGTTTTGTAAAGAAGCGTGTGGCTTGTCCGTTAAGGGGGAGACAAACGTGGTAACCAAATGTTTAATTCCTGCATAATTATGATTAAGCTCTTCTTAGGCACTGATTCTACAGAAACAGATTACAGATTAATGGAATTGGAAGGGACCTTGTAGGTCATCTAGTCCAACCCCCTGCCCAAGCAGGAGACTTTACACCATTTCTGACAAATGGCAGTCCAGTCTTTTCTTGAAAGCCTCCAGGGATGAAGCTCCCACAACGTCTGAAGGCAACTTCCGTTCCATCGGTTGATGGTTCTCCCTGTCAGAAAGTTTCTCCTCATTTCCAGGTTGAATCTCTCCTGGTTCAGTTTCCATCCATTATTCCTTGTCTAGCCTTCAGGTGCTTTGGAAAATAGCTTGACCCCTTCCTTCTCTCTGGGGCAGCCCCTCAAATATTGGGACACTGCTATCATGTCTCCCCTGGTCCTTCTCTTCACTAGACTAGCCAGGCCCAGTTCCTGCAACCGTTCTCTGTATGTTTTAGTCTCCAGTCCCCTAATCATCCTGGTTGCTCTTCTCTGCACTTCTTCTAGAGCTTCAACCTCTTTTTTATAGTGTGGTGACCAAAACTGGATGCAGTACTCTAGGTGTGGTCTTACTAAGGCTTTATAGAGTGGTATTAGTACTTCCCTTGATCTCGATTGTATCCCTCTGTCAATGCATCTTAGGATTGCATTGGCTTTTTTGGCTGCCGCTGCACACTGCTGGCTCCTATTTAGCTGGTTGTCCACTAAGACTCCAAGATCCCTCTCAGTTACTGCTCTTGAGCCTGGTTTCACACAATCTATTTGTGTACTTTTGGTTTTTCTTGCCTAAGTGTAAGACTTGACTTTTCCCTACACTGAATTTCATTTTGTTAGAGGGCCCAGTGTTCTAGTCTGTCGAGATCCATCTGGATCTTGAGCCTATTTTCTTGGGTGTTGGCTATTCCTGCCAGCTTAGTATTATCTGCAAATTTGGTAAGTTCCCCTTCTATTCCCTCATCTCAGTCATTTATGAAGACATTGAAGAGTCCTGAGCCTAAGACAGAACCTTGTGGCACCTCATTGCTTACTTTCCTTCCTCCACTTATAACCAACCATTCATTTTAGGGACGATCAAAGTTATAACGGTGTTGAAAACATTGTGGCTCATGATTGTTTTTCACACTTACGACTGGTTCAGCATGGTCATATGATCCAAATTCAGACGCTTGGCCACTGATTCATACTTATGGCGGCCACAGCATCCCGAGATCGCGTGATCCCCTTTTTGAGACTTTCTGGCAAGCAAAACCAATGGGGAAGCGAGGTTCACTGAACAACCATCTTACTAGCCTAACAGCCACAGTGATTCTCTTAGCGACGACAGCAAGAAAGGTCGTAAAATGGGGCGAGGCTCCCTGAAGAACCGCCTTGCTTAGCCACAGAAATGTTGGGCTCAATTGTGGTCATATGTCGAGGACTACCTATATAAGCAGCATTTATCACCCGTGATTTTAAGACAGATAGGCATTCCTCTGGGACCACCAAACTCAATTTTAAATCCCAGGGACCACTAACCGGCTCTGTGGGCATAGCCTAATTTGTGGATGTGGCTTGGTGATCATGTGACTGACTGGGCATGACTTGTATGTAACTATTACAAATATTTATATAAATATTTATTTTTTTATAAAAAAGACCAACTTTTACCCAAAATCAGGCAAAGCAAGCAGATTGAGTTGCTCACAGAATCATTCAGAGATCTATCTATCTGCCATCGGCTAGCTCAGTCTGTCACATAAAATTTGCTTGCCGTGAGTCTGCACTGAATAATAGAACCTTCAGTCCTAAGGGAGGTTTGGCTGTGCTTAAAAGCAGAGCCAAAGATCTAAAGACTAGCTAGAAAGCAAGAAATCCAACCATTTCCTGCTTCCTAGCTAATCTAGGAACAGCAGAACAGATGATGGACAGAAAAAGGAAAAATAGCAATTTAGCAGGCAAGTTTGCCAAGTAAGGAGTGAGTGGGCGGGGAGGGTTCCCGTGGGCCATGTGGGTGGCGCAGCCTTGTGTTTCTGCGCAGCCTGGATTAATTGCTTTGGGGGGGGGTGCTCTGGGGGTGAGATTTCTCTGTGGCCCACCAAAATTTTCTCACGGCCCACCAGTTGGCGACCGCTGGTTTTAGAAGCACCAATAACACCAATAACTATTTTGTGAAGGGCAGAAGATAGGACAAGGGCAGTCCAGAGAATATACTCCAGAATCGACACAAACACCTGGATTTTTCCATTTCCTTTTTATTAATAAAATTGAACTTCAAGAATCTGTAAAAAGAAACTCAAAACCGAGACGTCAAATTAAAAAATAATCCAACTTCGACCCTTGCTAATATACATAATTCCTTATATATACTTCTTTTTCCTTAATATAATATATATTTTCTTCAACTAGGTGGGGAAGAGACAGGAGGATTTCTCTCACCTGTGCTGGGAGAAGGGGTGACACCTGGTGACTACTGTACAAAGGAGGGGAGGTAGAAGAAGGAAAACAGTTTGGTGGGACAGAGTGAAAGATTTGCTGGATTGAGGACAAATTAATTTACCAGGTGATCACATTCAACGGCAGAAATCCACTAGTTTTTTCCAAACTTGGGAACGGTAAAATGTGTGGACTTCAACTCCCAGAATTCCCCAGGCAGCAAGCTGGCTGGGGAATTCTGGGAGTTGAAGTCCCACACGTCTTACTGGTGCCAAATTTGAAAAATATTGCCTGAAATCCTTTGTATAGATCCCTTGAAGATAATTATCCGATTACTTCTACTGGTCTCATCGATGACCCTTCAAAAGTTGCATGGAATAAATGGTTTTATTTATTTATTATTTATTTATTAAGGGTCACCGATGAGACTGGTAGGAGTCATTAGATAATCATAATTTGGATGCAGTTTCCAATTTTTATGGAAGCTCCCAACTTTCTGTGATGTGAGACAGTTGTTTTTATTTCTGTTTGCCAAAACAGTACCTGGTGGAAGGAAATCTCTGTTGTTCTCAGACTACAATTCCCATCCATCCTAAATGGTATGAAACTTGAAATATTCTGGACGATACCAGCCTGGAAAAACTCCCCTAAGGATTAGAACTGCCCCAAATTCTCCTGAATCCCGGACTTCAAACCCTTTGCTTGGCTACTGGGATCTAGTTTGACCTGTTTGAGATCAGCCTATTGATCCTTCCCTCTCTATGCCAGGTCAGGTTTGAAAATGCCTGTTTATGGTTGGCTGGGATCTCTACCTGAAACCGAACAAGAACTCTGAAAAAAAAAGGGGAAAAATGAAATAAAAACATTTTCACGTTTTCTGCATGGCCTGGGAAGAGAGGGAATGCATTAGAAGGAAAGTGTGTTGAACTGAACGTAGGTTTTCACCTTTTGAACTGATTATAAAATCAACAAGGAAAACATAAATAAAATATCTAGAAATGTGTGTTGAACCTATTGCAGCCTATCTGTTGAACTGATGATACAATCAGCAGGGTAAGGAATAATTTAGAAATATTCTAAATTTAGAAAATATTTAGAAATGTCTACCGGACCAAATGATCAGATAATCAGCAGGGAAAAAAATTATAAAATCTAGGGATATATGTGTTGAACCAAATGTAGCTTTTATCCATTGAACTCATTAGATAATGGGGAAAAAATGAAAAAAAACCCAAAACTTAGAAATAAGTGTGTGAACCAGTTGTAGCTCCCATCTGTGGAATAATCAACAGGAAAAAAAATAGTAAAATATCTAGAAATGTGTATCGAATCACCTGTAGCTTCTATCAGTTGAACTGATGATACAGTCAACAGGGGAAAAAATAATAAAATATTTAGAAATGTGTATTGAACAAAAGGTAGTTTCTGAAAATCAATAGGGGGAGAATAATTGAATATCTAGGAATAGGTGTGTTGAACTAACTGTAATTTCTATCGAATTGATCATTCAGTCAGCAGGGAAAATATTAATAAAAATATCTAGGGATATGTGTGTGAACCAGCTATAGCTTCTACCTGATAATCAACAGGGGGAAAATAATTAAATATCTAGGAATAGGTGTGTTGAACTAACTGTAGTTTCTATCCAATTGAACTGATCATACAGTCAGCAGGGGAAAATAATAATAGAAATATCTAGGGATGTGCGTGTGAACCAGTTGTGGCTTCTATCCGTTGAGCTGGTCATATAGTCAGCCGGGAAAAATGAAATATCTCGAAATATTTCCATTTCTACCAATTGCCAGAGGAAAAAAAAAATCAATGATTCAATTCAATGCAAGAAGGCAGTTTTCACTTTAAAAAGGTTAAGGGGGGAATCTGGTAGAGGAAGGTTATTTGATTGGCTAGACTTCTCGGAGGATCGCCGATTGGCGACTTGTCCTGACCAGCAGGAGAGAAAGTAAGGCTGTTGCTGCCTGTCCCGTTTTGGCGGCCACCGACCGAGGGCCACAACAGAAAGCGGGGACGCCCCCCCACAAATGTCAGCCAAGAAAGGAACGAATCATAAATAGCCTATGTGTTTGGGTTGTTTTTTTTCCGGAGCTCGGTGGAAATGCCAGCTGGAAAAGTGTGGGGACTGTGGCGCGATCACATCCACCCGAGCCACGAGGAGCCACGGAACGGGGCTGCTCAGTCCATCTTCAGATTGACGTAGATATAACGGATGAACTTCAGAGAAGCGAAGAAGGAGATGGTGCCCAGCATGAGGAAGAAAACGAAGCCCGTCAGCAGCGAGTAGCCGAAAAACTCTACCGTCTGCACCATGCCGGACATGTTGGAGCGGCGGGTGTAGTAGAAGACGGAGTAGAGGAAGATGAAGAGGCCGGTGGAGCCCGCACTCAAGATGGAGCGCCACCACCAGCGGTAGTCCTCGCCCGAGAGCTGGAAGTAGGTGAGGGCGATGGAGATGCAGGCCCCGACACTCAGCAGGATGGCGAAGACGAAGAAAAGGATGCCGTACAGGGTATATTGCTCCCGGCCCCAGACGGTGGCGAAGATGTAGTAGAGTTCCACCGAAATCGCACTGTGAGGGAAAAGAAGGGACTGGGTGAGCGGTGAGCTTGGCGCCCGCTTAACCAACCCAGGAGGGCATCCTTCTGCACGTCCAAAATGGCGTTTGTTGATAAACTTGGCAGCTCGAAGGTGTGTGGACTTAAAACCCCCAGAATTCCTCAGCCAGGGTTCATGATCCGCCATGACATCCCGACTTCATAATCCTGCTGTGACAGCCTTCCTTCCTTCTTTCCCTTCCCTTCTTCCACCCTTCCCTTCCTTCTTTCCTAACTTCCTCTCCTTACTCCCTCTTCCTTCTTTCCTTCCCCTTTCTCTACCCTTTCCCTCGCCTTCCTTTCCTTCCTCTCCCTCTCTTCCTTCCTTCCTTTCCTTTGCTTTCAATCTCCCTCTTCTTTCTTCCCTTTTCTTTCCTTCCCCTTCTTTCTCTTTCCTCCCTCATTCCTTTTTCCTTTCTTTCTCCCTTTTTCCTTCCTCCTTTCCTCCCTTCCTTCCCCTTCTCTATCTTTCCTTCCTTTCTCTTTCTGTATCCTTTCTTCCTCTTTCCTTTCTCCCCGTCTTTCTTCCTTTTTCCTTCCTTCCTCCCTCCCTCCTTCTTTTGCTTTCCTTCCTCTTTTTCTTTTTTCCTTCCTCCTTTCCTTCCTTCCTCCCTTCTCTTTCCTTCCTCTCCTTTTCTTTTCTCCCCCTCTTCCTTCTTCATTCCTTCCCCTTTCTGTATCCTCTTCCTCTTCTTTCCTTTCTGTCTTCCTTCCTTCCTCCTTCCTTTGCTTTCCTTCTTCCTCTTTTTCTTTCCTTTTTTCTTCCTTTCCTTTTTCTCTCTGCTTCCTTCCTTTCTTCCCCTTCGTGTGCTTCCTTTTTCCTTCCTTCTTCCCTCTTTCCTTCTCCCTCTCCTTCCTTCCTTTTTTCTTTCTTCTCCCCTCCTTCCTTCCTTCCTTCCTTCCTTCCTTCCTTCCTTCCTTCCTTCCTTCCTTCCTTCCTTCCTTCCTTCCTTCCTTCCTTCCATTGTAAGTCTGGCTGGGGAATTCTGGGAGTTGCAGTCCACACACATCTTCAAGCTGCCAAGGATGAGAAACGCAGCTCTAAAATGAGGAAGGGGTCACTGCTCTAACCACACACTAATGAGAAATAGCAACAGACGGGGGGGGGGGGGAACGGCCCCCCCCCCCCCATTCCATCCTTGGGACCCAGGGAGAGACGGAGGGAAGTTAAGGCGTAGGAGCAGAACGATGCAGGTAGTCTTCAACTTACAACTTACATTTAGCGGCCGAAGTTATAATGGCCTTGAAAGAAGTGACTTGCATTGACCAATGCTTGCACGGGCAGCACCCACATAATCAAAATTTAGGCCCTCGGCAACCGTTGTGTGAATTTTGCGACGAGTGCAGCGTCCGAGGGTCACGCGATCCCCATTTGCGGCCTTCCGACAACCAAGGCCAATGGAAGAAATCTGGATTTGTGCGACTCGCTTCACCATGGCCGCCATTCGCTTAACAACCGTGGCCAGAAAAGTCGTAAAAACCAGGCATGGCTCCCTTAACAATTGCAATGTCAACTCATAAAACATTCCTATGCCTGTTGTCGAGTTGCCATAAACAAGGGGTGGTGTTGGGGTGAAATCTGAAGGAGCAGTATGGCAGTTTAGAACCAGAAGTACATTCCACGTTCATCTTACAAAGTTTGTAGCTAGGCTACCGGATCTTCTGCCCACAAAAATCCTTTATTGGAGAACGTGATTGTTGACACCCGGCCTGTGAACGTGCTTCATTGGAGAATTTGATTTATGACAACCGGGGAGGGGAACAGGGTCATAGGTGACTGTGAATTACGTATGTCAGAGTTGGTTTCATGTAGGTCAGTGCCGGCATGTTGCTCTAATAAATCTTTTGGATTCTTTTGAAGCTTGGCTGGAGGCTCATGATTTAATGAGGGCGATCGCCGGAACCCTGACGGCAAGCCTCCGTTTAGCGACCAAGCCTCCGTTCCCAATTGGGGTCATTAAATCGGGGACTAGCCATACCCAGTTCCCCTGGATGCTTCTCACCTGAAGGGGAGAAACCCTCCGATGGTCATATGCACCACTGTGGACTTGTACCAGGGCTGGGGAGGGATTTCCCGGGCGATGTTCTTGGTGCGACAGGGGGCATCGAAGGGCGTGGCCCGATTCTTGCCAAAGATGCCACCGATGACCGTCAGCGGGAAGCCTACCAGCAGCCAGACCGTCAGCAGCAGGAAGATGGTGCTGACCGGCAGGGCCTGGGTGGAGCCATTTGCCCAATGCACGGAATTCACCACGCTCCAGGTCAGGAAGAAGGGAGCTGGATCAGGGTAAGGCGGGTGGGAAGGAGAGAGAAAAACAGAGCGGTTATTTTATTTTAATTTTATTCTACTTTATTTTTTATTCTGTTCTATTATTGCATTCTAAATTCTTTTTTTCTTGTATCTATTCTCTTCTATATTCTATTCTACATTCTCTATTGTATTTTATTCTACATTCTATTCTATGTTCTATTCTCTATTTTTTCTATTCTATTCTATATTTTATTCTCTATTCTACATTCTATTCTCTATTCTTTTTCTTTTCTATTCTATATTCTATTCTACATTCTCTATTGCATTTTATTCTACATTCTATTCTATGTTCTATTCTCTATTTTTTCTATTCTATTCTATATTTTATTCTCTATTCTACATTCTTTTCTATTCTTTTTTCTTTTCTATTCTCTATTCTACATTCTCTATTGTATTTTATTCTACATTCTATTCTGTTCTATTCTCTATTTTTTCTATTCTATTCTCTATTTTATTCTCTATTCTACATTCTATTCTCTTTTTCTTTTCTCTTCTATATTCTATTCTACATTCTCTATTGTATTTTATTCTACATTCTATTTATGTTCTATTCTCTATTTTTTCTAATCTATATTTTATTCTCTATTCTTTTCTTTTCTTTTCTATTCTCTATTCTATTCTACATTCTATTCTTTTCTATTCTATATTTTATTCTCTATTCTATTCTATTCTTTCTATTCTATTCTATTATTCTATTCTATTCTTTCTATTCTATTCTTTCTATTCTATTCATCACCAATCAGATCTTCACCCTGCCTTTATTAGTTTATAAGTAACTCAACATGGTCAACGTTCCTAATATTTCTTCCTCCTCCTATTTCCCCCACAACGAGAGCCCTGGGAGGCTAAGGCACAGAGGGACTTGATTCAAAGTCACCTAGCTGGCTTTCGTGCCTAGGGCAGGACTAGAACTAACAGTCACCTGGTGATTGGTCCAAAGTCACGCAGCCAGCTTTCATGGCTTACTCACTTACTTTACTTTATTAGCGTTGCACCTCGTACAACGAAATTAAATGCCATCTTCGGTGTACGTTATAACTATAAAAATAAAACACAACACATACCTCCTTTGCATTCTATACAATTGAATTGAAAACCCCTGCATATTATATTCATATTGCACTATAGACACTATAATTCAACAAAGTTACTGCCCTGGGATAGAAGCTGTTTTTCAGCCTATCTGTCCTTGTTTTTATTATCCTGTGCTGTCTGCCAGATGGTAATAGTTCAAAAAAAAAGGGTTCCCAGGATGAGATGGGTCTTTAAATATGTCTTACGTTAGACTAGAACTCTCTTGGTGATTGGCCCAAAGCCCCCTAGCTGGCTTTCAGCCCTAAGGTGGTACTAGAACTCACCATCTCCTGGTTACTAGACCAGTACTTTGACCATGACACCAAATTAGTTTACTCCCATCTTAGGGTTTCGTGCCTAAGGCAGAACTATAACTCACCATCTCCTGGTGACTGGCTCAAAGTCTTCCAGCTAGTTTTTCATATCTAAGATGGTACTAGAACTCACTTTCTCCTGCTTTCAAGGCCAGCAGCTTAACCACTACACCACACTAGCTCTCAAAAGAACTGTATTTTCTATTTATTATCAAAGAAAAAGGCAGTTCCACTTTGAACTACTACCCTTATACCAGCAGGGCTCTCTTAGAGAGCAGGTGGAATTTTGTATACCCCTTAACAAACACGCTAATGATCTTTAAGACTCAGAATCCCAATTATACGAAGATCAGAATGGCTGCTGGAACTGGGTTTGTCTCTAGTCTGATGAAAAGAAGGACTTAGGGGGTGACATGATAGCACTGTTCTGGTATCTCAGGGGCTGCCCCAAAGAAGAGGGAGTCAAGCTATTCTCCAAAGCAGCTGAGGGCAGGACAAGAAACAACGGGTGGAAATTAATCAGGGAGAGAAGCAACTTAGAACTAAGGAAAAATTTCCTGAGAGTTAAGAACAACTAATCAGTAGAACTTGCTTCCAGAAGTTATGAATGCTCCAATACTGGAAGTTTTTAAGAAAGAGATTGGATGACCATTTGTCTGAAACGGTGTAGGATTTCCTGCCTAAGCAGGGGGTTGGACTAGAAGACCTCCAAGGTCCCTTCCAACTCTGTTATTCTATTCCTACTTCTATTCTTAATCCTAATCCTATCCTATTCTTGGCTAAAGGAAAAGTGGAAATCGGCGGATCTCCAGCCAGAAGGAACTGGTGGATGGACACTCCAAGCGCCGGAGTTGATGGAAGGAACCTCACTGGAGAAAAGGCTGGTGGTCAGCAGTATATTCCAGACCCATCGCTCGCCACCGATCTGGCGGTAAAAGTTGCTGGACACATAACCGGAGATGCAGCACGTCAGGGCGTAGAGGAGAATGGCCGCAGAGTTGATGGCCCCGTGTCGGTGGACGTTGAACATGCCTAGCAGGGCCATCACAATGATACCGGTGCCCAAGGCCAGGAACTGGCTGCCCACGCCCAACACAGCGCAGAGGAGGCTGCGGTAGGGTGGGAACCTGAAGACGTCCGTGTGGATGATCTTCCACCCATTGTCCCCTTGGTCAAAGTCATCTCCTGAGGAGGACGAAGAGGCCTCCTCGTCCAGGTTGTAGCGGGCCAGGTCGTTCTTGAGAACCCGCATGAGGATGACGACCACGAAGCCCACGAGCAGAAACACCAGCACCATGGAATTGATGATGGAGAGCCAGTGGATCTCCAAGGTGTGAGGGAAGAAGCCGTCGTCCCCGCTGTGACTTCCCCGGCGTTCCCCTTGGCGCTCCGCGCTGGTCTCTGACCAATGGACGCTGTAGGTGTAAGCGATGGGCATCACGCCTTGGATGTCATCCAAACTGGTGGGCTTCACATTGCGGACGCTGACGTTGGCGTAGATGATGCGGTCGCCATTCCACTCCAGGTAGAAGTCCAAGTGGGTCCAGAGCCCGATCTTGTGGGTGTGGGGCAGGAAGCCGCTCTCCTCCATGTAGCCCACAAAGCCGCGGAGCGGTAAGTCGTCCACCACAAATTCGAAGTAGTAGAGTTCCTCGATGGCCTGGCGGAGGCGCTCTACCTGTCACGGAGGAAGGAAAAGTCAACCCACAACCAAAAACAAACACGGGACCCACCGGACTTCAGATGTTGAAGCCGCCGACTCTCTTAATTCTGAGGTCAGCGATTTATGAGAAAGAACCAAGAAAACGGATCTAGACTTGACAGCTTTAAGACTTATGGACTTCAACTCCCAGAATTCCTCCCCCAATCAAGTTAGCTCAGGAATTCTGGGAGTCGAAGTTTACAAGACTTAAAAGTTGCCATGTTTGAAGAGCCTTGATCTAGAAGAATGTCCCCCAACTTTGATGACTTGAAGATGGGTGGACTTCAACTCCCAGAATTCCCCAGCCAGCTTACATTTAGTCTATGGTAGAGCTGTGTTTCTCAACCTTGACCACCTTGAAGATGGGTGGAGTTCAGAATGTGCCATAAAGACTACCGAACAAGGGCTAGAGTGTCCCTACTCAACCTCAGCATCTTTAAAAGGGGTGGACTTCAACTCCCAGAATTCCTCCGCTAGCATGGCTGGTTGGGAAACTCTGGGAGCTGAAGTCCACCCATCTTCAAGACACTAAGGTTGAGAAACACAGCTCTAGAGTTTTCACCCTAGAGGAGAATCCTCAAAATTAGCCACGAGGAAAAACTTATCCCAAAAAGGAGATGCCATAAACAAGTATCAAAGACTGTGTCAGCCTCCAATAACTTTTTCTGACATCTTTTACTGCTTGATTGCCAACTGCCAAGGATGGG